TTTTCATGAAATATAGTTCTAGACTCACATAACTGTAGAATTAATATTCCAGTTCTTTGGTATCTTTGTATTCATAAGATTGTAAGTTTCACATGAAAAGTGATGATTAACCTATATCTAAGAGCAATTTAGCCATTTTTTCTATGTTAAAATAGTCGAACTCTCAAAATCCTACAACTCTCAGAATTCAACACGTTATCAGAGGCCCTTGCTACAATCCTAGGTATTCAATATAAGCACTTATCAGAAACCGAAAAGAAATAAATAATTATAGTCCAAGAAAATTTGGAGAAAGAACAGATAAGAGTACTTGAACCTAAAAAGTGCAATAATAACTTCTGGAAAACAGATTTCACTGGTTAATGAAAAACAAGGCAGCAGAACCATTTCCATGAAGACTAATACAGCCACCAAAATTATCTATGACCAAAAAACAGATAATATTAATCACTCACCAAAGAGCATTTTTTTGATATCACTAGCTCTACGAGCAGCCTCAAGCTGCTGCTCAAAAGACCCCAGTTTATCAGCCTTACTGCCACCCAATTGACTTATATTTTGAAAAGGGTTTTCATTACCGTCTTGAGCATTTCCGACTCTAAGGAAGAATGTGCCATTGGGCCACAGAACCTAAAAGAAATACATATGATTAGAAAGCAAAAATATTTGTATATGACAACTGTGAGAATAATTTTACCTTAGAAATTTTGGAAGCACATACCAAATTTATTATGATGATTAAGAATTGAGAGTTGAGACAATCAAAATTCAACAAACAGGAATACATGAAGTCGCTCCCTTCAAATGTAACCAAAACTTTTACCAGCTTCAAGAGAAGCAGTTCTAAAGAAAAAATATAACAATAATAGAACCTCTATATGATTTTGTGCAGACAATAAATTAAAGACAAAAAAGAACTTGCAACAGGAGTTCTGTTTTTCACTGCTCAACACAAACATTTATGAGGTGGATAAAAGGTTTTGTGGTTGAACCCTTGAGCAAGGTCGTTTTGCATGACATCTTAATGTAGATATATTTTCTTCTATGTTCTTAACTTAAGCTTGAGTCAGGCCAACATTGCAATTGCAATATGTATATAACCAGTCGAATATTTTGAGGGCAAAAGTATGCACAATAACTAAGCCTGCAGAGGTTGGACTGACTTACCCAATAGACCTAATCCCTTTCCATTTCAGAAATCTACCGAGGAAAGTGCAGGCAAAGGTGACTCCATTTACATAATATATGTAGTAGACTAATATGCAAAAATATTTATTCATATAACTATTCTTCTGCAGTATTCATCTAAGCTTGGACTGAATTCTTCTAATTGCATTTACAGCTTACATCTCTAAGTTGGTATAAAATATTATTTCAGTAAAATGAAGATGTTTATAATTGGTTCAGTACTTACATCTTTAAGCCACCGAATTCCCGAAGCAATAGTATCCTCCCTCCGAAGCCAATGAATCTGCGTCAAGAGCCAGTCATCAATAGCATCCTCCATCATTAACTGTAATATTTGTTTTGATATCCAAAAGACCTGTCTTCTGCATGAACAAATATAAGCACGTGTGAAAGACCAATCATTTACTGTAATTACACACGTTACAGCACTAGTGCATAACATCATGCTTTATACAATTCGACCAGTACTTGGGACATGGTCTGCAGACTAAAAGGAATTAAGAAAAGAAGTCTTATAAGCTATAGACAGTTGCTCATACAAAAAGGGGAGAACAAAATGACAACAATTCTGAAAATCGTAAGTTATTGACCACATAAAATAGAAAGAAAAAAGAAATATTTATCACTAAAATTAAAGCAGAACCATGGGAGAACAAATTCAAATCAATTGTTAAAAAAAGGAAGAGATGAGCAACCGAAAGAAAGAAAAGCACAACAAAGAGAAGCACAACAAAGAGAAGTGGCACAGAGAATAACCAATCTATAAAACTTTGCCATGATGGCATATGATGTTTCCTTTCAACGTTTACAAGAAAACAGGGTGGAGATAAGAGTTTTTTACTTTTTGAATGGTGGACTGCTTGCCCACTTCTGGACAACGCTGTTGTACTTCACCTACTTTATTAAATGAAAACAAAACTGGATACTGGTTTATCATGCGTGGTCCAAATGCTTTTATCCAAGATCAACTTACGAGAGCTGAAGACATACCTCAGGTACACTCAGGCATAATAAAAAGATAACAAATTAAAGATCTGGTCTCTAATATACAACAACATAATGACTACAGATTACATCATCATGCATCATCAGGACACACAACCATAATTTCCTTGAACCATTAAAAAGAAACCAGGATTTCCTAGCAATCACTAAAAACAAAAATACATCTACGTTAAGGCATGAACAGCTCACCTCAGCCAGCCCCTTCTCTTAAGCTGAAATACCTTGTCCACTAGATTCAACAGAGGTACACTAACATTGGGTGGAGTCCACTGAAAGAAACCAAGTTGTAAACATCCATATTAGACACAACCAACATGTCCTACGAAGCACTGTGGTATTTATTTAAAAATGTTGATTGGAATGGTGATCTTCAGATAAACCTATGAAAGAACCAAGTTCACTGAAAAATCTAAAACTTATACATGCAATTCCCAATTACTTTAATGGCAACCTTTCACAAGTCAGGATACTATTTTCTTATAATTTACACGTCCATATAAACCTCCTGAATCACATTTCGAAGTTCAGCAATGTACTGTTTCAATGGGCACCACCTCCTTCATTTCTAGTGTTGAGTATGCTTTAACATATATCAGGGTTGGAAACTTTCAGAATATCTTGGTGATCAAGATTTTTACTCTGGTCCAGCAGTGAAAAACTGGAATGGCATCTTGTATACAAAATGTGAAAAACTGGTTGTAAATTTTAAATTCAAAATAAAATGGCATCTTGTATACAAAATCCAAAACCTAAACTTTATAACCAAAGACAGATTCCATTACGCTGGAAACAGGAGGATCCCAAATGGGCATGGAGAATATCATCATGCTACACTGGCAGAAAATTAAGAAAGTTAAAAATGGATAACAATATTAACCTATTAAGTAATTGATGGTCATATGAAATACCTAAAACTATAGTTTAGTTGTGTGAAGAAAAGGGAACATGCCGTGGAAGAGACTTCAGGTAATGATGGAAGTAGGCAAGTACTCGGAAATGGGATACCACATAAGATATTGGTGAAAATGGTCAAAAAGGTCCAACATGAAGCTACTCCTCTCACGTCTAACCCAAGCCTTTTTCCTAAGAAATTGAGTCAACTACGGAAGTCCATTTCTCAAAATACTTCAAGGTGGTTAACATGAATTCTTTTCTACCAGTCAGCCCTATCAAACGCTAGTTAGCAGTCTAGTGGCTTACATGCCAAAAACCAACATGAATTTGTTTACCATAATCAACAAATTTAGGATACTAAGTATCATGACAGTGAACAATAATACCTCAGGTGGCATTCCAACTGGATCCTCCAAATTTCTGGAGGTTGCTGTAAAATTTGCTGCAGGAAAGCCACCCTCCCCAGCTAAATCATCTTTCTTCTCCGAACCTAAGCTCCTTGTATGTATAACCCTGCATGGATAACCCTTGGAGTTCAATTCATTATCTGAATGCCACCCATTTTCTTGTGCACCAGATCCTGCTTCCTCAGGGTCACAACTTTTATCTTTATCACCATCCTCATTATCAGAAAAGCTATTTGTTGTTTCCACTGTATTTTGCCTAATAGCACGTACTCCTGTCTCATCTGCATTTGTGGACAAGTTCCATGCAGAAATTGAAGATGAGGCCTCAGATGTGGGAGAACCAACAACTTTACGCATTAAGCCATCTGAAACCCCTTTGAACTGGCGTACAATATCATCCACAGCATCATCCACATTGACTGCTTCAATCAAATAAAAAGAATGACCATGAAAACCTTGACTAACCGAATCTCGAAAAGCAATAAGCAAATATGAGAAACTGCCATAACACTAAAGGAAGCACCCAGATCAAGATAAAACTAAAAATAAAGATACTAGGATTTAAGACCAAGGGCAATTATGGAGAAGAAAAATTTTATAAAAAAAAAGGTTCTTTAACATATATGGCTTTCTGAGAATTACTTTGGCGATGGATAATTACATTTTAGTTATTAACTGTATTCTGCATAAAGTAAATAAAAGAGAAAAGCCCACGTTCACTTAAGATAATTACTAAGAAGTAAGAACAAATGCCTTTTAGTGACTACTAAAATGAAAGGTTTCATGGTCCATAATATATGAATCAAAAACTGTTCTGAGCCTCTGAAAAATATTTGCTGCAGGCAGCAGAACAACTCCTTTTGAGCAAGACGAATACTTCTAAATTAATTTTTTACAAGGAAAGAAACTATTCTAAAAGATTTTCAAGGGGGTGCTAATCTGTAAAGTATTGAAAAATATAAAGGACCAAAAAATTATGAGGGATAAAATAGATAAAGGACCCCTTAATCTGGTCAAACAAGGCTCTGAAGACATATCCTTCAGTTCCATTACATCACTTGTGTTCTTCAAACATGGACACTAATTTCTGAATGTAAACATGGACACCCAAAAATATGAACAGAAAATATGTGAAAAACCACTGAGAATAACCACATACCTGCAAGAGTTCTCATCACTGAGGGAGATTTTCCAAAAGCGTAATTCTAAAACCCCCAAAAAAAAAAAAAAAAAGAAAAAAGAAAGATACTGTTTAGAAAAAAAGAGTGAGAGAGATATATATATAGGTGGTCATCTAAGATTCTAAAACTAAGGTCAAGACAATGAATACCTTTGAGGAACCACTTAAAAAATCCCACACTTCATGCTGTTCAGCAACGTTAGCTATTGACAAGAGATCCTGGGAAAATACAGCATGAGTAAAGCAACAAGGAGAGAATAAAGTAGAGAATGAGGAGGGGGCGAAAGAAATACATTGAAGAACCTGCATCATACCTGCAGATATTTGTCCAGCTGAATACATCGCTGATGAACAAAAGCATCCTCTGTGCTTGACGAAAATATTCTTTTGGGTGGCAACTGTAAAGTGTAATTTGGAATTTCTTTAAGATGGCGATGTAATCGCTCAAAATTCCTATATCTGCAGGTAGAACAAAAATTCATATATGGACCAGGTAATGCTGAAATAGACTTCAAGAACTTTCTGAACATATGTAAGAACAAACACACACACACACATATATATATATATACACACACATATTTTCTCTAATGAGCACATCTTCATTTTAAGAAAAACAAGGTCCACATAGTGGGACCACCCAGCAAGAATAACTTAACAAAATCTGAATCTGTTTAGTCATCTAATTCTCATCAAGTATTTCTGGTAAACATAGAAATTATCATGATGATGATAATCAAAGGGCTAAACGATTTCCATTTAGCTCAATTTTTGCAATGATGATCGTTGAATGGAAACCTAAAAAGTGGATGGTTTGGATCATGGGATTACACTTCAAGGTGGGCCCCAACAAGTAGTTCTTACTTTTCTTTAAATTAGGACATCCGCATCAGAGGTGGATTCTGTATATGTTGTATGTGTCTGTAATTTTATTTTCATTATTTTTATGCGAGAGAGAGAGAGAGAGAGAGTGTGTGTGTGGGCGCCGGGGGGGGCATGTTTGGGCTTGTGCAAGTGCAATAAAAAGAAAATTGAAAAAAAGAAAGGAGTAATCTTGGTGTGATGATATAGATGAGAATGAAACCTTCTTTTCACAAACCAAGTTCTGTTTTCTGAATCTGTAACTGCAATTGAATAAACTGCAAAAGATTTTGACCCAAGTTTCTCAAAGTATGCGCCCATAACCTGTATAGGCATATTGGACAAAGAGTCAAGAAGCTGAAATTGTTTACATCTTCAATACTTACAATATCTGCTAGACCATTGCCAAAATTTATATGTGCTAGACCATCAAATTTATATCTTCAAAATTTATGATATCTACTAGACCATCAAATTTCACAGAAAAAATGCTTACCCGGCATCTGAGCTTGGGAACTTGTTGTCCCACACAATGGACTACCATATCTGAGGCACTCTTACCAACATGCTCTTCTCTGTGCTTGCCAAACTCAGGGCTATAAAACTCTGATATGATAGACCCTCCACCTTCTGTGAGTGCCCTTTTTGTGTCTGGTTGGATTTTTAAAGCAGAAGTGCTATTTGATCTTTTAAGCCTAATTTTATTTCCATCAGCAGCAAGGCTTCCAATGTCCTCCAATTCATCAACAAGATTCCCACCCTCAGCATATGATTTTTTGCTGGGATCCAAAGAGAACTGCATCTCTTTTTTGGTCCCATCACTCAATTGAGAATCTAAACTTGTCTCACGTGTCAGCTTCACAATAGATTTATCCTCTATTCCTGTAGAAATTTCATGCCTGTCAGCTTCCATTTCGTTCCCTAACTTTCTAGCAGGTACAGCACTATCTACTCCAGAACTCACAGGTGTATGTGGTGTATGTTCCTGAGTTGCTCTTATCTTTTTCTTGTGCTCTTTTCTTTTGTAATTTCTCCCTTTCGTCCACATGTTTTCAAGATTTTCAGGAGCAAGAACTTCAGTCCTTCTCTGTGTCGCAGCCTCCAAAATTCTTGCCCAATCAGCAGGCCGCGGCTGCAAAGGATCTTCCTGGAATGGGTTATAATCCGAGGACTTTTCTCTCTGATTGTCAACTTTAGACAATATCATATCAGTTCTTTGATTAAAGGTTGCATATTTGTTCAATGGAGAACCATGATCAGGTATATCCCCTGCAGTTGACTGGTCACCCGCTACCACTTTAGTGATTTCATCTTTAATGGCTAGCAAAATGTATTCAATCAATTCGTTGATATACCTGAATAAAGGAAAATTGTATGTTAAAATGGCTAAATTTGTGTAAGCGATAGGAAAGGAGTGGAAAAATCTGTACCATTTATGTTATTAAATTGGAGGCACATATCATTATTATGCTGTTATACACATATACGCCCACTTATAAGATCAGATGCTCCTAAGCTCTAAATCATGGCATAAATAGATCATAATAAAATAACAATAATAATAATAATAATCCAATACAAGATTTCAACCACAGTTCTGTAATATATGTTTAAAAATCTGGAAAAACAAAATAAATAAAGGTTTAGCCTAGGCCATCAGGTGCTTTCTATAGAATATAGATAGTAAATGACAGTTTGATGCTTCTGAACAGTTTTACATGACAATACCTTTCAGGAGAATTTAGCACCCTCAAGACAGAAAAGAAAAAGGAAAAAACTAAACTAAATGGCAATACCTTTTAGGAGAATTTAACACCCTATAGACAGCAAAAAAACATAAACTAAACTAAAAACTGAAAAACAAAAATAAATAAGGTAATATTAAATTAAACTATTCAATAACATACCCAGGGCTTGCGAAATTCAGAACAGGTTGGATTACCAAGCTTGTAAGAAGTTCTCTGGCAATAGATCGCACCACTGGACATTGAGCTTCTCGTGGCCTTAAAACCACAGCTAACACTCCACCCATCAGCCGCTGAAGAACCTATGGAAGATAAAGAGCATCAACCTAAATCCAAGAGATAAAATCTAAAAACAAAACTTATTTCTGTAAGAACACTCCACTCACACCTTGTACTCACTCTCAGGTGATATCAATGCAGGATGGAGCTCCTTTGAAGCCATGAGATGATGTTTTAACCTATCATCTCTCTCCTCTGAAGACAAAGTTTTCATAACATCAACACCTATAGCAGCTTGGTTTTTTCTGAAAAGCTCCATATGATCCCCTATTAAATCAATTATATCCCTGAAACATACGAAAGCCATTAATTATGTTTCTTTAATGATAAAAGTGTTTTAACAACTTGCAAATGATTCACTTCCACAAGAAACAGAAGGATACCTTGTCAGCAAGTCAACAAGGTTTATCTCTTTAACTCTTCCTGATACTTCACCAAGAGCATCCATGATTATCACACGTATTTGCTCTGGAGCCTCCTTGTCTGGTGTTATATCTGAATACCATAAATCAATCACGAAATCCTTTAAAATTTTGTCAATGAAATCACTCATCGCATCCTCTACGATTGGAGAACCAATTTTCCTCTTCCACCTTGGTGGTGGAGGCCCGGTAGAAAGGCGTGGATCATTGACCGACAACTGTTTCTTCTCCAAATGAGACAAATATGACTGCGGTCGAACAGGTCTTTGAACCTTCCAATGGAATTCCACATTATTTAATAGAAAACGTAATGCGGAAACCAACAAAATTGATATTGGTATATTCATCCACATTGATTTACTCGAATCTGTGAGGAATGACAAAGAATTGGAGTCAGGAAAAAAACTCTTTTAAGAGTGAAAAAGACCACATTTTCAAGAGAACCAACCAATTTTCACAACACAGACTACCATAATTCTAACCTGCACTTGTTTACAGATATTTTAGAAACTTGAAACTACGTTATGACTTTAGCTGAGTATAATATACATATGATGAAGAAATCATAGATAATATGTAAAATCCAACATTGTATTTTCACTTGATTATTTTCGACCAGTTTCTCGGAAGCTAAACACAGAGTTATGAGTTAGCTACTGATTCTTAATTCTTGGAATAAAAAGCAACTTAGATACAATCAGAAATCATCAACCACCCCAAGAAAAGCAATAATTTCATGAACTACAGCAAATTTGTAACAAAACCGAAACAAAGAAAGAACAAAAAAATCCAATTTGCATCAGATTGGAGCACTTACGGGACAGGAAGTAGGTAACGCAGAAGACAAACAAGGCCCACCAAACCACTCGGAGCTTAATCTCCTCGATCAGATCTTGTATGGTCTGCATGGGCTTCATCTTGTTCCCCGAAACCCTAGAATCCCACTTCAATTCGCTAAAAGTAAAACGAACTCCAACCCAATAAAATTCCGCAATCCGAGTCAAATCCTTGAAAGTTGGAAACTTCAAAGCTTCAACACCAAGCAAGATCAACCGTGGACCCTTCCCTTGCCAAAGGGTCCTGTCTGGTTCCCGAGCTCGAAGAAATTGCTTCACGGAGTAACAGAGAAGAAGAAGAAGAAGACGAAGACTAATCTGGAATTCGTTTGGGTCTTCGATTTTGATTCACCCTCTCTTTCTTTTATTACTTGATTAATTTCAATATTTTTTTTCTCTATTTATTTTCTTTTTTCACAAAATATGTATTATACTGTGAGCTGTTGTGTACGGAGGAAACGGAAGAAGAATCAGATACAGGAGAGAGAGAGAGAGAGAGCGGTAGTTCGTTAACGGTTAACCCGGTTAAGCGCATCCTTGTAAAGTCTGGGTGTCCGACCGGTCGGACCGGTTGGACCGGTTTGGCTTCGCTGTGCTCTCTCCACGTTATTGCCATAATACAAAACATTAATGAGAAGGTGGATTAAGTGTGGGGCCCATTCACGCATTTTGACGTGAGTTTAAGCAATAATTATTTTCCAAATTGTTTTGTTTTGTTTAATGAAATTGGCACGTGGGAACAGTTTTAAATTAAATTACAGTTTTGTCGATGACCACTAAGGAGTAAAAAAGTGAGTTGTCTTAATGCATGTTTGGACCTTGCCATAAATTGAGTGAGTTAAAATAATATTTTTAGAGTGCTGTTATTTTCACCCATTTATCTTATTTTCTCACCCACTTTATCTTCAAAATTTTAAAGACAAATAAACCCCTTCATAAAATGACTTCTAAAGACTTAGGGAAAAAACACCAAACTCAATCTGCAAAGGCCTGGATTTGTTCGAAGACAGAGAGGGGGGAGAGAGAAAGCGAAGCGAGACAGAGGCCTGAACCACCATCTTCCTCATATCACTAAACCAACCTCTCCACCCAACTTGTAGGCCACGACTTGGAGTGGCATCCCCCAACTTCTCCATGGTTATTTCACATTTCTCTTTGCACTGGATGATGTGCGCCTAGTAGTAGAATAATGCTACATTATTAGCATGCAGCATTGCTGGAAAACAAGAAGGGTCTTCCAAGCTCTTTCAAAATTAAAGGCGCTTTGAAATTATCCTCAGAAGTCTTATGGATGTTAATCTTCTGCGCTTCTAGGAAGGATGGTGATGCAGGGCATATCTCGTTCTAAATTACCTTCTAGTTTTACCCAATTACCTAAAAACGATCACACAACGAAGAACTCGTCAAAATATGGCCAATCCTGAGATATGTCAGCTAGTCTTAGGCGTCAAAGTTCTGAAGAGAAGAAAGCCACTATTCCATATAGTTCTTGCAATCAGAAGAGAACATGTTTTTAAAAGCTTGAAACTGAACAGAGAGAATAAAAGGAGAGAGGAAATGAGGTAATAATTAAAAGGGTATTTTAGGAATATTGGTGGGTGGAAAATAGGATTGTATTTTTTAAAATTTATATGGAGAGTGGAAAAATAAGGTGGGTGGGAAAATCGGACAGGTGGGGTGGAAATAGTAGGACTCTACTTTTAACATATTGGTATGTTTATGTTATTTAATAAATAATGCTCACATGAGTTTTGATTCTATTACGTTTTGAGCTAGGTAAAATTGAAATTGGATCGGTTGGGTCGAGCCTAGTCCAAGGCACACTTTGTCCAGTCTTACATGGCTTTGGTCCATTATTATACTAAATTTTCATAGGTAAGGTGAGCTCTACATGGGTCCTAAAATAGTGTTATAACTTCATAAAACCTATATCATGTGGGAAAGTTAGAAACTCTTGTTTTTCCTTATAAATTTTTTCTAAAGTTTAGTTGCAAGCATTGAGACTTCATGTATATACTTATTAGTAGGGGTGGACACGGTACAATATGGTACAGTATTGAGCCCGCACCGCTATTGATACCGGAAATTTAAATCGGTATGGTACGGTATGAGATTATGATTTGCCAAAATTGGTACCGTACCATACTGTGCCAAATCGGTATCGGTACCATTTCGGTACCAAAATGATACAACTAAAAAAATGAACCAATTCAATATTCAACACCAAAATAAGTGATGCCTAAGTTACAAATTCAAAGATTCAACATATTCAATATTCAAATCCTAATCAACATATTCAATATCCATCAATATATTCAATATCCAAATCAACCAAATCAATATTTATTCATCAACAAATTCATCAAACTCAAATGGTTAAAACTCATGCCTTATGACTTACAAACCAAAATAGTTAAAATTATGCCTTATGGCTTACAAAAATACAACACAATCCAAACATAAATGACAAAAACATAAAGTTATACTATTCGGTACGGTACGGTATTGACCGGTACCAAAATCTTGATACCGCTACCATACCATACTCTATTGGTACGATACAGTACGGTACCGAATATCTCCTCATACCAAATGAAATGGTATGAAATCGGTATGGTATGGTGCGGTTAGGGTACGGTTTCGGTATTTCGGTTTAAGATGCCCACCCCTACTTATTAGTAATGTTTGTACATCTGACCAAGCAACTAAAAACAACTCTAAGAAGTACAAAGAGTCTCACCTTGAAATATTACAAGATGTGAAGACTCCCTTTCACCTATAAAAGGAGACTACTCTACACTTAAGAAGGGATCCTTAAATTGGGTTTGATCTTTAGTCATGGGCTTATTCCTTTTTCCCTTTATATTTGGGCCCAAACCCTTGTACAAATGTAAATACACATTATTATAAGAATGAGAATATACTTCTCTGTAGACGTAGCTCATTCATTAAGGAGGAACCATGTATATCTTGTCTTCTGTATATTTATCGCTTGCCCAAATCTTCACACACATGTTGAAGGTCCTCACTTTCACCCATCATCCATCACACCTCATCTCTAAGTTAGACTCAATCTTAGCCGTCCATTTTTTAGCATCAACAAGTAGTAATCTCACTACAACACAATTGCTCTTGTGTTACAATTAGAATTACGCATATATGAGATTAGCCAAGTTGGCTAGAACAGATATGCTCCCCACTCAGCACTCAGCACTCGAGTTCGAATTCCCCTCCCCGTAATTTAAATTAGATTAAATAGAATATTGCTTGTCTATAAAAAAAAAAATTAGAATTTCCATATAATTATTATATTGTATATGCTATTTTGACTAAGTGCCAAAATCCATAGTGTAGCATAGAAATGCTACTTTGACATTATACCATATAAGCAGTTCCTTGGGGAACACATCATTGACAAAAACATTGACATAGGGGGTATGGTTATGTGTGGGCATGTCAATCTGAATTTGAAAGAATTAGACACTTATGCTTATAAGTGTTTTTTTTTATAAGCGTTTTTATTAGAAGAACATCAAAGTTTGTATGAAAAATTCACATGTTTCTTGGAAAAGCATGTTGGAAAAATACAGGTTTAAATACTATAACTAATACATTTTCTTCAAACAAAACAAGATTTTATGAAATTGATACATGAGTTTTAAAAGAACATGTAGGAGTTTTTTTTCTTCCGATAGCTACTGGGCTGAGCTGCCGTAAGGAGCAAACTGAATGAAATTACCCCCGTGTCTGAGTTCAAAGATCATACCCCAAAATGTTTCAAAAAGACAGTTAAGCCTTAAAAAACACCTTGGTTACCTTCACCAACCAAAATAATGGTTGCTTACAGATAAATTCTTAGTGCTTACAAGTAGAATCTTAGCTTGACATGAAAGGCTTGTGGCATGGGAGCAAAGTTGTCATGAGTTTAGCACTAAAGAGAAGATTAAGTGTTCCTAGGGGAAAGATGGGGTATTAAGGTAGGAGAAAAAAGGGTTTTGTAGAAAAGTTTGGTTAAGAATGAGAGAAAGAGAGAAAAAGATGGCTTGAGTGCTTTTTGAGGCAGCTTGACAGAGGGTCTGTCAAGTGTTACTAAAAAGATGGCTTGAGTGCTTTTTGAGGCAGCTTGACAGAGGTTCTGTCAAGTGTTAGAACAGTATGCCAAGAAGGAAAACTGAGGAGGGAAGAGATGAACTAAGCGCAAAAATTGCTGGGTTTTGTAGGCAAGAGAGGAAGCTTGCTCTCTAGTTGTGAATGGTTTTTGTTCGGTAGAAGAGACCCTATTTATAGCCGTTGGAAGCCATATTTTTCCAAGAAATCCTAATGGTTTCTATCTCATTTTGCCAAGTTTTTCCCTTCTTTTCTCCCCTTATCCCTTCAATCATCCTGTTTTGGTGAAATCTACTTTGCTCATTTGCACAAAATCAGGGATTTTGGGAGGTCAAGGTTCCTTTCTTGCAGCTGCACTAGTAAAGAATTCCTATTTTCAGATATCTCCTTTCCTCTCTTTCTTTTCCTCCTTCATGGTCAGATCTGATAAAGGAAAGAAATTGGTATACATGCTGGTTTGAATGGTGGCTCCTTGAGCGCCAATAACTTTTGGTCCCTTGGATGTTTTGCTTGAAAACTTCTTCTTTCCCTCCCAGCAGCCCACATGGTCTTCCAAGCTCTTTCGTGGCTGTCTTTCAGCCAAATGCTGAAGCCTTTGCTACTTCTTGCTTCTAATTGTATGGGCTTTCTAAGATGGCAAGTCAATCTACCAAACAAATGGGCTGATCTCATCAAGTTTTGGGCTATATTGGTTAATTTTAATGGACCATTTTGGTTGGGCTATTTTGGTTAGGTTATTTTGGTTGAGATATCTTCCCTTTTTGTGCTCACTCACATGTTTGGGCCTAAGAAATGAGCTTGGGTTCCGAGGCTCCCAAGCAACTCGGAACCTCCATTTCTCAGCTCATGAATGAGCCTCATGACAACTTATTACCATCCATATCACAACCCACTCAAGCAAGCCTTGGGCATTTGAGTGGCTTGGGCCCACTTAGGCTTGTAGCGTGGTTAGGTGTGACATAGCGATTTTTCGCTTGGCATGACATGTTGCTTGGCATGTTTTTTTAATTATGATGTTTGATGGGATAATTAGCATGGATTTGTAGTGCTAACGTATTTTTATAATCTTAATCTTGATTCCTAGCATGACAGATTATTTATTTGGCATGACACACGGGTTGTGACTTGTGCGTGGTGGATCTTTGTGTGTGCCAAATTGGGTTTTTTCTGAATCATGCGTCATTTTAGGCCAGAAATTTATTTGGGCCCAACTGTGGATTTTTTAGGCCTCAACAGAACCTTAATTGAGTCAAGGTAAATGTTGGACTATAACCTTAAGAAGAATTATGCCCCACACAGGTGCTTATATGGTCATTGGTGCTCGCCTCCCAAGATACAACTACACTTCTCCTTGCGAAACAAGAACTACAATTCCAAAAAATCTTAAATCAGATTATGCAAGAAACCTGTCACATAATATAATGAGTGACTATTCTAAGACTTTGTATACAAGTGGATATGTAGAGACTGAGATTGAATTAGTTGATTGCAAGAGGGACCCTATAGATGCTAAAGAGCCCCTTTCCAAAAAGGTGTGTCCCAAATTGAGAAGCCAACCAATGAATTTATTGAATAAATTGGTGCATTAATACATTTTCAGAAGATGAACGTAAAATACTCTTTATTAATGTCCATTAAAATAAGAAAATTAATATTAAATTTGTAAGAAATCACTTGGAAGTTATTCCTTCATAAATTGCTTTTGTGAATTAGAAGAGCTTATAAATGCTTCTATCAAGCATTATTAGGAGCGTTTTTGGTTTTTAGAAAACATTTTTAGCCATTTCATAAGCAGTTTCAACCAAGCTCTTAGAAAAGAAGTAGGAACTGTCATGGTCCCCTTGAGCCCTATATGCAAAGACAAATACTTGAAGTGTTGCTTCTTTCATGTATTACAAATGATACATCGACTTATTATTATTATTATTATGCTTTATTTTTTTTTTATTATCAAAGTTAGAAAGGGGAAGTGGTTTTTTCAAACACACTGTCAATGTATCATGAGGTTCGAATATGAAACAACTAGTTTACATATCATACATATCATTGTCTTTTTTCCATTGGGTTAGACTCCATTGGCAATGATACATCAACTTTTATTGCTATATAGTTTTTATTTATTTATTCACAGTTATTGTTCATTAAATTTAAATTAATAAGGGCTTCCTCCATTAAAATTGACTTCGTAACATGTGATCAAAAATCAAGTCAAGATCAAATAACCTTGAAAATATTTCCCAAAAAATAAAAAAAATCCTTTGAAAATAAAAAATAAGATGTCGAAAAAGAAAATATCAAACTTTTGTCAGTACGTTGCCTCCGCAAATATCTACAACAGGGGTAAAACGGTCACCCTAAAAGAAAAAGAACGGAGGAAAAAAATAAGCAGTGAGCTGCTGCTGAGTGCACGTGCCCTCTTCTTTTCTCTTCCCGCCCACGGATTCACACAAACCGCCGCGTTTTGCTTAGCGGATCCCAAATTCGAGAACCTATGACCCGGTCCCACATTGACACTTTCCACAAAAAGTCACCCTCCTCATGTCTCTACCACGTCAGTTCACATCCCAAACCTCCACCCATCTCATCGATCAGCGGCCAAGATTTCTCCGTCATTGTTTTCCGTCACAGCCACCTCACATTAACACTACTCAAATATCTTTGAAAAAACAATACTTAATTCTTATCCACTCGCCCGATGCCTTTTTGGTATAAAATTGTATGTCCGATCCCAATCCACTCCAATCCAATCAAACCAATTTCTGAGAGAAGAAAAGAAAAAACCAGAAGCAAAGCAAAGCAAGAGAAAGTAGTGAACTTTGCGGGGTGTTTGGACACGATGATAAAAACAGTCATGCTTCGTTCTTGCCCTTCTTCTTCTCCTCTGCTCTTCGAAGCCAATAGAGAAGCTATTTCTGGACGACCGTCTTCGCCGTCGTCGTCATCAACGACGCCGAAGTTCGCTTCCACTATCTGTTGTTCGTCCAGAAACCATGCTTACATTCCAAAGCTCGAGCCTTTTAGCCGGTCCAAGCTTGATCGCGCCATTAGAGACCCGCCCTTGATCGAAAAGTGCGAGAACGAACTCTCTGGTACGTACCCATCTCCTAAATTTCAAATTTTTTTTTTGATGTTGTTATTGGTTAATCTGAAGTGGTTTTTGAAGGCATGATCTGATTTTGATTTTTGTTATTACCCGCATGAATCTTTCTTTGGGTTTTATGCTGTTTCAGTGAATTTTGTATTAACTTGTTCTGTTGATATGATTTTTGTTCAGATTACTGTTCAACACTCGAAGGAGACGAGTCTTATAGGTGCTGGAGAGCGTATTTTGAGCTCAAGGATCTAGAGGTACAAAAACTTTCTTACCTGTTAAATTATTGTTTGGCTGCTGAGAAAATGGAGGAAATTAAAGACAAGGAATTCACATATTTTTTTAAATCTTGCTGGGTACAGAAGGAGATACCAAAACAAGATGTGGAGAAGCTGATTCTTCAAGCAGGAGGTGTAAAGACATTAGTGGGATGCTTACATGGCATTGCAGCAATACAAAAGGATAAGAAACATGGATTTAATTCAGCAAAGCCATCAGATGTGGCAAAAGAAGGAGAGAGACTCTGCCCCATACCAGATGGGTTGCCAAAATCAGCTCAGGAGCTGGAGGAAGAAGAAAGTGCAAGAATGCCAGATTCACCCTTCACCAGGCTTCTTAGAATCAAGGGGAGGAGGCACCCTGCTTGGTATTCAGCTACCCCTGACCATGAAACAGATTGATCAAACACGAAGTTTTGTTTTATTTGTTTTATTTGTGAATATGTCTTTGGGATTTACTGAATTAGGAATGTGGTGTAATGGTGTTTATAGATGTGGGGATGTTTTGGTATTGATTGTTGGGAGGCTTTGAAGGTTTATTTTCAGTAGAGGACTTCAATCCCTGTATGATTTTTCATGAAGTTCAATGAATTAAAATTTTCCAAGCTGAAGAGATTGCCTTCAAGTTTCTTGTTATTTAGTGGGATTTCAAGGACTTCAGTGCCTGCTTGCTATGTCAACCTCATCTTAGCAAAACATGAACAGAGAACCTTATCTTCTTCTTTTATATGAATCCATCTTATCTAAAGTTAGACTTTTTGTACATGCATGTAAATAAAAAGTGTATACAGTATACTTAAAATGGTATTAATAAATAAATAAAAAGATAGAGACAGAAATCAAGGACACCAGAAGTTGTGAGATGGAAATGAGAGAAAAAGATAAGGAAAAAAATTGGGAAAGGTGGGAATATTTTGTGAATGGTATGGTGATGCTTTCATATTTTAATGCTACATAATTTAATTGAAACCTTGGTGTTTTCCCCTTTTCAAAGTTACAAGGGGCCAAGCAACCCCAAGCCTGCCCTCACAGCTATTCCAAATCAGGGGAGGAACCTCAAAATAATGAGCACCCAAGGAGATCCATGGCTTAGTTTTGGGAAAGTAAAGTTTGATAATAAATAAATAAAAACTAAAAAACTGAGTGTTTTGTTCACCTAACTAATGTCTGAGACCATGGTACTATATTACATTATGAAGTGATTAATAATATGCTAAGGTGGCAACATAAATTACTATAACCCTCTGAATGCCCGTATCAAATCTTTTCCGCAAACCAAACAGCGAACTTTGGTACGTTTCAGGTTCCTGATGAAAAAATGATACTTGCACTATTGTAAGCAGCCACAGAAACAGGGGTTATAAGCTTGACCTTTGATTGGTGAGCAACAGCATTTCATCTTCTCTTGCTGATGCCATTAATTCAATGTTATTATTGGACCTCCTGAGGAATTTTTTTTTTCTTTCCTTTTTCTGCTAAAAACATGAGGTTTATGCCAAGTGGCAAATAGATAGATGTTATGCTATTTATGGAAAGACAACCTGATGCATGGAAACTAAATCTGGTGCAAAAATGGATGCATAGGATTCAACAGCCAAATTTAGTCATCCAACTAAAAGAGGACCGGGTCTATTGCCAATTTTTAGACACCAGATAACTTCTGATGCTAAAAAATGAAGGTACCACCAAGTTTTGTGGGTGATGTGAAGAGCCCCATACTTTCCGGTCCTAAAACAAGAAGACCTGTCTTCTACAACCATTCAATTTCTGTCAATACACAACAGCCTCCTCCCCACAATATAACAGCTTCCCTCTTCACCTCATCCCCATGTCTTTATAAGCAGAGCCTTGTGCTTGCCGATTCAGTACTCATCCAATGGCTCCACCTCTCATCACAAACAAGGCCTCAGGCGGCTGCCTTCTCTTCTTCCTCCTATTCTCTTCATTCTCAGCCCTCTCGTTCGCCTTAACCGATGCTGAAGTCGCCTTCATAGCTCACCGCCAGCTCCTGACTCTCCCGGAGGGCGGTGACCTTCCTGAAAACTATGAGGTTCAAGTGGATGCCAAGCTCAACTTTGAAAACAACAGGCTCAAAAACGCTTATGTTGCTCTTCAGGCCTTGAAGAAGGCCATCTTCTCCGACCCTTTTGGCTTCACAGTCAATTGGGAAGGTGCAAATGTTTGCTCCTACAAAGGGGTCTTCTGTGCACCGGCGCTTGACGATGAAAAACTGACCGTTGTGGCCGGTTTGGACCTGAATCATGCCGACATTGCTGGCCATCTCCCTGTCGAAATGGGGCTCTTGACTGATGCTGCTCTCATCCACCTCAACTCCAACAGGTTCTGCGGCATTATCCCACGCAGCTTCAGGAGACTGATACTTATGCATGAGTTTGATGTCAGCAACAACCGCTTCGTCGGCTCCTTCCCTGTGGTGGTCCTCGAATGGCCTAGTTGCAAGTACCTTGATCTCCGGTACAACGATTTCGAAGGGGAGCTGCCTCCAGAGCTTTTCCACAAGGAGCACGATGCCTTGTTCTTGAACCACAACCGATTCACATCAATAATTCCAGACACCTTGGGCCACTCCACGGTTTCTGTAGTGAATTTTGGGTTCAACAACTTCACTGGTTGCATACCACGAAGCATTGGGAACATGAAAAATCTGAATGAGATTATTTTCATGAACAACCAACTTGGGGGCTGCTTCCCTCCTGAGATTGGAAACCTTGGAAATCTGCAGGTTTTTGATGTGAGCAACAATGTGTTTATTGGTTCCTTCCCAAAGACCTTCTTGGAGCTCCGCAGCATAGAGGAATTGGCTGTTGGGTACAACAGGTTGACAGGGTTTGTGACTGAAAAGATTTGCTCCTTGCCTAAGTTGGCCAATTTCACATTTGCTTACAATTATTTCAGTGGAGAAGCTCAGAAATGTATGCCAAATCCCAAACGTGAGGTGAACTTTGATGACACGGGCAACTGCATGCCTGGCAGGCCCAAGCAAAAGAATACTAAGACTTGCTTCCCAGTGGTCACTAAGCCTGTGGATTGCAGCAAGCATTGTGGTGTTGGTTCTTCAACCCCGGATAAGCCAAAGACACAGAGGCCTCAACCACCTCAGACGCCAAAGACCGAGAAGCCTCCGACACCCAAGGCTGAGCCACCACTGACACCAAAGGCGGAGCCACCTTCCATGCCTAAAGCCGAGCCACCTCCCACACCTAACGCGGAGCCGCCTCCCACTCCCAAAGCCGAGCCACCTCCCACGCCAAAGGCCGAGCCACCACCCACGCCAAAGGCCGAGCCACCTCCCACACCCAAGGCCGAGCCACCACCCACGCCAAAGGCCGAGCCACCTCCCACACCCAAGGCCGAGCCACCACACACGCCAAAGGCCGAGCCACCTCCAACACCAAAGGCCGAGCCACCTCCAACGCCAAAGGCTGAGCCACCACCCACACCCAAGGCCGACCCACCTCCAACGCCCAAGGCTGAGCCACCTTCCACGCCAAAGGCTGAGCCACCTCGAACACCAAAGGCCGAGCCACCACGAACACCAAAGGCCGAGCCACCTCCCACGCCAAAGGCCGAGCCACCACCCACGCCAAAGGCCGAGCCACCACCCACGCCTAAGGCCGAGCCACCTCCAACACCCAAGGCCGAGCCACCTCCCACGCCAAAGGCCGAGCCACCTCCAACGCCAAAGGCCGAGCCACCTCCAACACCTGAGGCCGAGCCACCTCCAACACCTGAGGCCGAGACACCTGAAACACCTGAGGCCGAGCCACCCCCCAAAGGCCGAGCCACCACCAACACCAAAGGCCGAGCCACCACCAACACCAAAGGCCGAGCCACCACCAACACCAAAGGCCGAGCCACCACCAACACCAAAGGCCGAGCCACCACCGACACCCGAGGCCGAGCCACCCCAAACACCAGAGGCCGAGCCACCTCAAACACCAAAGGCCGAGCCACCACCAACACCAAAGGCCGAGCCACCACCGACACCCGAGGCCGAGCCACCCCAAACACCAGAGGCCGAGCCACCTCAAACACCCAAGGCCGAGCCACCACCAACACCCAAGGCCAAGCCACCACCCTCACCCAAGGCCGAGCCACCACCATCACCCAAGGCCGAGCCACCACCCTCACCCAAGGCCGAGCCACCACCATCACCCAAGGCCGAGCCACCACCATCACCCAAGGTCGAGCCACCACCATCACCAAAGGCCGAGCCACCACCATCACCCAAGGCCGAGCCACCACCATCACCCAAGGTCGAGCCACCTCCCACGCCTAAGGCCGAGCCGCCTCCATCACCAAAGGCCGAGCCCCCCCAAACACCCAGGGCCGAGCCACCCCCAACACCAAAGGCCGAGCCCCCACCAACCCCCAAGGCCGAGCCACCACCCACACCCAAGGCCAAGCCACCATCCACACCAGAGGCCGAGCCACCCCAAACACCAGAGGCCGAGCCACCCCAAACACCAGAGGTCGACCCACCTCCCACACCAGAGGTCAACCCACCTCCCACACCAAAGGCCGAGCCACCACTGACACCAAAGGCTGAGCCACCTTCCAAACCAAAGGTCGGGTCACCTCCCACACCAAAGGCCGAGCCACCACCGACACCAAAGGCTGAGCCACCTCCCACACCAAAGGTCGAGCCACCTCCCACACCCAAGGCCGAGCCACCACCGACCCCAAAGGTTGAGCCACCTCCCACACCCAAGGCCGAGCCACCTCTTACACCCAAGGCCGAGCCACCTCCAGCACCTGAGGTCGAGCCACCTCAAACACCTGACGCTGAGCCACCTCAAACATCTGAAGCTGAACCACCTCAAACACCTGAGGCTGAGCCACCTCAAATACCAAAGGCTGAGCCACCACCATCACCAACACCTTCACCTGGACCAGACCCAACTAACACATCTCCGGTGCCGAAGCATTCACCTCCGCCACCATCTCCAGAGCCAGTGCAGTCACCTCAATCACCGGTATTCTCTCCACCACCACCAGCATCGGTCCATTCCTCGCCGCCACCTGTTCAGTCCCTACCACCTCCAGTTCAATCCCCACCCCCACCAGTCCAATCCCCACCACTACCAATTCAATCCCCACCACCACCGGTCGAATCACCTCCACCACCAGCTCCCACTCCATCTCCTCCTCTACCTCCTCCTGCTCAGTCTCCACCACCAACCGAACCGGACTTCGTGCTGCCACCAAACTTTGGCGCACTTTACTCATCCCCACCACCTCCAATGTTCCCAGGCTATTGAGTACTAGTTTATCATTTGACATGTTTCCCATATTTTGTATTTTTTTTAGTTTTTCAAAAACACCTTCTACACACACTCGCTTTGTAACTTGGAGAATCTTATTGAACAATGAAATTTGAAATTTGAACTACCTTCCATTACTACTTGATTAGTTACCTCTTTTATTCAAAATGCATGAAATTGTAATGTTAGCTTATCTTGTGTTTATTGCTAAGATGGAAACTGAAAACGAAATGAAATGTAAAGGAAAAATGAGAGAGAATTTAAAGGTTTGAAATTTGCAGTTTATCATGAATAAAAATTAATTTTATTATTAAGTATTTATTTGGGAAAACATGCCTCTATAATCTAGAAAATACTTTACATTATTGTGCAAGCGCTATGAAAAGTGTTTTTAGTTGTTTGAAAACGCTATTCACACCTCTAAAAAGCTATAAAATTATTCATTGTAGCGAGGTATATAATTGCTTAGGATTATATTAACCATCCACAATACATACGTATTAAGGCAATAATGCATTGAAGTTGCCAAACATGTGTGGCTCAGTCTTTAGAAAAAGAAAGAAGGTAGTAATTTTATGAGATCATATGGTATTAGGTATCCCCCTAGTTCCTCCCATTTTATTTTTGAAAGCTACATCTAAACCACCAAAAACATTTGTTTTCAAAAGAGTAAAAGGACTACATTAGCTAATCATAACATGATAGTTGATGTATTATCTAACAACTAGTCATGATAATTGAAGTGCGTGCATATCTATAGTCACAACATATGAAAGCATTACTCTTTTTAAAAAAGGAGTGAATTAAGAATTAACAAGTACGTGACATAGGTATAAGTTCGGTTAGTTGATCATTTTAGCGTACTTGTCCTTGCACTCAAGTTCAAATCTCATACCTCATAAATTAAAGTAATTTTAAAATAGGGGTGCGCATTTGATATGTAAAATTCGCGTACCGACTATACCGAACCTATATGGTTTGGTTTGAATGGATTAAATTAATTTTTGTTTTCTAAATTACAACCCGAAACAAAAGTAGTGGTTAAAGAAGCAAGTTACATTCTCCCTAACTACTGGAAATTTGTATAGAACTGAAATTTAAAAAATAATTTTTTTATTTAATTACTAATATACGTGTCGTGTGATACTTTGAACACAATGTTAAGTTTTAATTACAATGTTCCACTTGAAAGTAAGTGATAAACAACCAAAATTGACCTTATTTAACTTTGTAAAGAAAAAAAAAGGGGATTAGCTATACTTTAGTCCCTGGAGGTTTGTTTGTGCCTAATAAATCACGGTCATAAACTGACCGAAGGGACCTCCTCTCGGCCCTAGCACCTGCTCATGAACCGAAACGGTCACGTTTCATTAGGCATTTCGCTTTCCTGAAAACAAGAGGAAAGCTGCGAAGGCAGAATCCTCTCGGCCTCACGACCGCGGTATTATGAGCCAAAGCCAAGGGCCGTAAAAGACATGACCGAAGGTACTGCGGTCAAATCGCCACGTGGCCTCAGGGTCCCATGACCCATTTAATGAAGTAATGCCTCTGACTATCGCAGCAAGCCCACTAGTCGCAAGAAACATTTAATGCACGAGGGAAGAGGGGAAGTGACTGAAGTCAGGATTTTGTAATAGAGATCAGAGTGGTTAGGCACAAGCACTCTCACAAGTATGCTTACAACTTGAGGTCAAATCACCAACCACTAGACCAGGGTATTAAATGCATTACCACGGCCAGGGGGCAGAACCCACGATCAGGGCGATGGCTGAGATTTACCCGGATCCATGGGAGTCACACAACCATGCTTCACGATCCCAAATGCTGATTTGACTACCTACTTACCCCTATCAGGCTCCACCGCGCAGATCTTTTCAGCCTCGATTGTCCTTCCAGGACTTCCCCTATAAATACTAAACTGAAGACTACATTCAAGGGGTTCAAACACCAAACCAAAAGCCTCTCACGGAGCAAATTATATTTTCCTGTAATGCACTTTCAATACCTTTATTTGCTTTCCTAGGAGTAGTGGTAGATTGTAAGGAAAATCCATTCATCAATATCATATGACCCTTGATTTTCAAGGCGCCAGAGCACAATCTCTGTTGTCATCTCACTCACCTCATATATCATACGACCGTCGCTCTCTGAGCAAGGTGCCGGAGCACCGCCTAAAACCCGCCACCAACACCACCATTAAACAGCCTTATAGCTCAGGCCATGAACCTGACGGCCGATATCAGTTCCTCTCTCGGCCACAATCGTTTGATCAGGAGTCGAACACGAAACAGGCGCATCATTTAAACCATCTTCGACCCAAACCTCAT